AGCCGCATTAAGTCACAGCCGGTTTCCCACATTCAAGATGGAGGAGGTACAGTATTTGTAGCTGCTGACTTTTAATTTTTTTGTTAACTGATCCTCTTTAAACCATTTGCCGCCCGCCCTATGGCCGAATGGCGGCCGGCAAATGTCATCAGCGTTCCGGGTGGATGCCATATGGCGTCCTCCCGCACATGCGCAGATTGCGCTCCTGTAGAGCCGCGCAGCGGTGTGATCTGTCACCGGCCGTGTACCTCGGACACGGCCGATGACAGATCTGAGTATCGCCCCCGTTGCCGGTACCATGTGACCTGCTGTGACCAATCACAGCAGGTCACATGACAGTTGTATACAATGGATGGCTTCATTCATTGCATCCATTGTATACTAGTGTCTAGCTGTGAATGGTGACAGCGATCACAAACACATGTCATGTGATTAGCTGTGGCCAAATCACAGCTAAGCACAAAAAAAAAAAAAAAAACCTGAATGAATCGATGTCATTCAGGTAAATGCTTGCTTATAGCAAAGTAATTCTTTGCTATAAGCAAATTGTGTAAAAAAAAAAATACTGATCACTTCCCCAAAGTAGTACAATGTTACTATGGTAACATTGTACTACTTTGGTCATAGTAAAATATGAAAAAAAAATCTTAAAAAAAGAAAAAAATGTAATAATAAAAAAAATTAAAAAAAGAAAAAAATATATATATATTTTTTTTTTTTTCATACTGTCACCAGTCAGTGTCCCTGATCACTGCCATGCCAGTTATATGATGACGCTGTACTGCACTGGTGACAATATGTAAAAAAAAAATAGTGAAACTAATTTTTTTCATTTTTTTCATTTTCCAAAAAATTATGACAAAAACATTACAACTTCAAAAAACTCGCCATGCCTCTTATGAAGTACGTTTGACTGTCTGCTTTGCAAAAAGGGGTCATTTGGGGGATATCTGTACTGGTCTGACATTCTTGGACCTCAAGAAATTAGATTGGCTGTCAGTACTTCATCAATATTCAGATTTATACCATAGTTTGTGAACTCTATAACTTTCCTACAAACTAAAAAATACATCCTAATTTGGGTTATTTTCACCAAAGACATGTAGCAGAATACATCTTGGCCTAAATTTATGAAGAACAATTATTTATTTGCAAACTTTTATAACAAAGAAAAACATGTGTTTTTTTTTCACAATTTTTGGTATTTTTTTGTGAATTTAGCAAACAATAAAAACCCCAGCGGTGATTAAATACCACCAAAAGAAAGCTCTAGTTGTGTGAAGAAAATGATAAAATTTTAGTTTGGGTACAATGTTGTATGACCGCGCAATTGTCATTCAAAGTGTGAGAGCGCTGAAAACTGGCCTGGGCAGGAAGGTGTAAAATTGCCCGGTATAGAACTGGTTAAAGATGAACTCCAGGCAAACCATGAAATACATATACTATAGCTTTTACCTGCCAAAGGATTTATATTTCTGTCCATTCAGTCTTTAGATTTACACAGCCCTCTCTAGCAGGAGAGGAGACTCCATTTTCTTCTACAGTTCAGTAACACTTACAGGTCCAGCATGTGACTGGTCAATGAAAAGGTAACAGCACACTGATTAGCTAATCTTTCTGTCACTCTTCTCTGCCCTGCTATCAGCATGCTCCATGCACTGTAGCATGCTTTACAAGGACTATATGAGGCTGATAACAAATGAGCCTGGGTTCACATATCTGCGGTGTGGTAAATCGCATATGATTTGCACAGGAACCGCACCGCCTTTCTGTGCAAATCACATGCGATTTGTGTGCGGTGCGATTGGAGCATAGATTTTGTATGGCTCTAATCGCACCGCAGCTGCACCAAAAACGTACAGGACCCTTTTTTTGGTCCTCACTAGAATCCGATTGCTTGGGTATTTACAGCTATGCAATCCGATTCTGCACATCGCACCTTGTTTTGTGGACCGCTTTCAGGGTGTTGTTAACATACACACCCACGGCGGTTCGCATGAACGGGGTGCCATTCTGATGCAGTGCAGAATTTGCACTGAAAACGCTGCGAATTCCGCACCTCATCAGTGTGCACCAGGGCTCAGATTCAAGTACATAAGGTAGACAAACCGTTCAAAATTCAAAGTTTCGATTAATGTGTGGCCCTCCCTGTTTGACAACAGTCAGTCATCATATCGACTTCTGTCAAATGGACAAGCTGGATATCATTGGTTGTACATCAGCTGTAGCCAGTAGGTTTAGAGGTTAGTAGTATGTAATGCAGAATTCTGAAGTCAGTATTATGCAACTCAGAGGTCAGTAGTATGTAATGCAGATTACAGAGGTTAATAGTAATACAAAGTGTAGGGGTCAGCAGTTGGTAGTGCAGAGTTCAGAGGTTAGTAGTTTGTAACACAGTGCAGGGGTGACACAACCCCACACCTGGGCATGTAAACTATCATGACACTGGCTACTACAACTGACAAAATCCTATAGTTGCAGGCACTTGTTCTAGCTGATGTCCCCAGAGCCTCGGAGGAGCTAAGGACATTCCTGATTCTGCATTCAAGGTTGCTGCTGTATCTGAGGTCTGGGAGGTGGCATATGGGTATGAAAGTTGGCAACACAGGGTATATCATGATCAAGCCTTTACCTGCTGTCCTCCATTGTATAGTATTCCCCTTTGCTCCTTCTTTGTCAGCTACATAAAAGGGTATTGGGTGAAGCCCCTAGCCAGCAGAGAGAGTAATTAGAACCTCCCAGAAGGAGAGACAGCTATGACATACAAAGAGGGAGGGGGCTGTATTAGGGAATTGACTCCTCCTGAAGTAGTACGCTTTTAAAATACTTTATTTCTCTGAGTTTTTTTTTATCCTGCTGTTTTGTTGGTGACACTGGCCTCTGCTGTCAATCAAAAATAAGGTGGACTATATGCTGAACTATGGCATTGCCATAATTACCAGAACTTCTGGCCCTTCTGGTTACCAGTGAATCTCCCAGCCTACAGTTGAATGGGGTCATGGATACAGCACTGTGCGGTAAACTGTTACATACAGTGCTGTGAAAAGTATTTGCCCTCTAAACCTAATAACTGGTCGTGCCACCCTTGGCGGCAGCAATTGCAATCAAGCCTTTGCGATAATTGCCAATGAGTCTTTCACATCGCTGTGGAGGAATTTTGGCCCACTCACCTTTGCAGAATTGTTTTAATTCAGCCACATTTTGAGCATGAATGGCCTGTTTAAGGTCATGCCACAGCATGTCAATCGGATTTAAGTCCGGACTTTGACTAGGCCACTCGAAAACCTTCATTTTGTTTTTTTTTTAAGCCATTCAGAGGTGGACTTGCTGGTGTGTTTCGGAATATTGTCCTGCTGCATAACCCAAGTGCACTTGAGCTTGAGGTCACAAACTGAGGGCCAGAGAGATTTTCCTTCAGGATTTTCCAGTACAATGCAAAATTCATGGATCCATCAATTTTGGCAAGTCGTACAGGTCCTGAAGCTTCAAAGCAGCCTGTTTCATCACACTACGGCCACCATGATTGACTGTTGGTATGATGTTAATTTTATCAAATGCTGTGTTAGTTTTATGCCAGATGTAACAGGACACACACCTTACAAAAAGTTCAACTTTTGTCTCATCAGTCCACAAAATATTTGTCCAAATGTCTTGGGGATAATCAAGATGTTTTATAGCAAATGTGAGACGAGCCTTTGTGTTCTTTCTTTTTGGTCAGCCGTGGCTTTCCCTTGGAATTTGCCCATATAGATGCCATTTTAGCCCAGTCTCTTTCTTATTGTTAAATCATGAACACTGAACTTAACTGAGGCAAGTAAGGCCTCCAGTTCTTTAGATGTTCTGGATTCTTTTATGACCTCCTGGATGAGTCATCTTTGTACTCTTGGAGTAATTTTGGCAGGCCGGCCACTCTTGAGAAGGTTCACTACTGTTCCAAGTTTTCTGCATTTGTAGATAATGGCTCTCACCGTGGTTCGCTTGAGTCCCAAAGCCTTAGAAATGGCTTTTGTACCCTTTCTGGACTGATACATGTCAGCTACTTTGTTTTTCATCTGTTCTTGAATTTATTTAGATTGCGGCATAATGTGTTGCTTTTTGAGATTTTTTTAGCATGCTTCACTTTGTCAGACAGCTTCTATTTAAGTGATTTCATGATTAAACAGGTCTGGCAGTAATCAGGCCTGAGTGTGGCAAGTGAAATTTAACTTGGCTTTCCAAAAAATGTGGTTAATCACAGTTCATTCATGATTTAGTAATGGGACAATTACCTTTTCACATAGGGCTAGGTAGGTTTCGGCAACTTTTTCCCCTTAATAAATAAAATCATCATTTAAAACCTGCATTTTGCATTTACTCTGGTTATCTTTGTGTAATATTAAAAGTTGATGATCTGAATAATTTATGTGTGACAAATATGCAAAAAAAACAGGAAGGGGGCAAATACGTTTTCACAGCACTGTACATGACAGCTTCCCAGGATCAACATGCCCCATTCTAAGCACTGGCATACCTTTGTACACCAGCTCACAACTTGTCTTAATTACCACCAGAAACTTGACATTAAAACTTTATTGAAGTTCCCAGAGTATGTCACCAGTTGGTTTAGCCAGCAATCAATGGTGCTGGCAGTCTGTGTTTAATGACAAAAAGGAAAGTTGAGAGAAAACGGTACAATTCACAGGGGATGAAGTCATGGGAATGAGATTATGAATGAAAAATTCGGGTGGGTAAAAGTGGTAAGTGACAAGTTTTGATGGATGAAGACAAAATGAGGGGGCTATGAGGGCATGAGGAGATGCATGTGGACCAAAGATGACATTTTCTGCATGTGCACATAGCGAGTCTATAGAGTGAATTTCTCTCAGCACCAAATACTGTACATGAGTGAGTCTGTGTACAATCTTTTAGGGCTCATGTACACAGGGCGTTTGAAAAACTTTTCTGACCACTGGAAACTGACTGCTAGAAAACGAAGGTTAAAAATGTCAGTTTATCCGTGTTTACCTACCGCTTTTATGCGTGCTTGCATTTAGAAGCATTTTTAAAAGATAGCCTCAGGAGACCCTCCTAAATGCCCAGAATGCACTGAAAAATAGTCATGAACTATTTCAGACATTTTGTGAGAAATAGAAAAGCACTGCTTTCTGATGGGTGTTGCAACTGTAGCAAAAGTGGCTGGTGAAACATGCTTGGCACTGTGGGAGGAACTACATAGTGCTGTAATGCCTCCAGATGCATTCTGGAGTGCACACAACAGTCCCTGTGTTTTTTTGCTGTGTTTCGTTGTGTTCCAGTACAGTTCTGTGCAGAAATAATGCAGCATGTTCTACCATTTTTTGCTGCACGTGAAACCTGGAACTGACTGCACTGGTGTACTAGGTCCATTTGAATACATGGAAAACGCTGTGCATGCATTTTTGTTGAAGAAAAAAGGCACTGAACAGCATCTGGATATGGACCAGCCCAAAAACGTGTCTAAACGCAAACACATACAAACCTGTTTACACGCGGTTACAAGCGTTTGAAACACCAGTAAACCCTACTCCTGAATGCGATTTTTTGTGCTTTCAAAAAATGCCTGTAACCTCAACTGCCTGTAAACTACTGTAAACGACTGTGTACATGGAAACATAGGAAAACATAAAGGAGAGTTCAGGGGCTGCTGAAAAAAACATACAACTGCTCCTAAACAGTTTAGCAGCTGCAGTGTACATAAGCCCTTAGAGACCTGTCAATAGGAAAGTAAGAAACATTACTGCAGAAGGGACGTAGAAAGTCTCTTCTGCAATAAAATCCTTCCTGACAGCAATTTTTTGTTTCAAAACTAATGTCCCACTGAAGTTTTGCAAAGTTTTGTAAGGGTTTACTTCTTCTATTTATACTACCCTTTTAAATCCCTGAAGATGTTTGGGAGGACAATCTTTAATCAATATTCAAGGTGTCACCTTCTAAAGTCCATTACCTGGACACAGGATCACCTAAGGCCCCTTTGACACGAGCGGACCAATTGGGTCTTCCTGTCAGTTTTTCAGGTGGACCCGAACAAACCCTCCATTTTCCTTTATGGACCAGTGGGTGTAAACAGAAATGTGTCTGTTTACACCCACCTACATCCGATCCACTCCAATCCGCTAAAAACAGACGGATGGGGATCCATTCCCCTTCCATCTAGCATATCGAAACAGATGTCGGGTGTAAATAGACAGGAGGTCCAGCTACATAGGACTTCCCAGCGCTTTTTTTTCTCAGAGAATGGGTGCAGGAACCTGAGTCACCCCTTGTAATCTGTATGGAATTTGTTAATGATAACAAGAAAAGCAGTAAAATAAATTCAATACAGCCAGGAGCAATAGACCCCACTTAGCAACAATAGGTCCTCCCAACAACAATGGACGCCTGCAACAAAATACCAGCCCAGCAACAATAGACCCCCAGCAGCAACAACAGATTTCCCAGCAGCCAGCATCAAGACTCTCCAGGAGCCAGCAACAATAGGCCCTTCTCTCAACAGTAGCTCTTTTCCACCAAAAACTGATCCACCAGCACCAATAGACTGCCAAGCAAAAAGAGGCCCCCTGCAGTGGCAATAGATCCCCAAACAGCCAGCATCAATAGATCTTCCAGTACACACCAGCACCCCTTGCCACTGCAAAAATTCAGCACTGGAGGTGCTAGAGGTGCCAAAACTGCATTCCCCCGCATTCCCGCTGAAAAAAAGCCCTGGGACAGCCCATGGAAGAGAAGGGGCTGTGTTTGTGTCTGTTCTGCTTAAGCTTAGTGGGGATTGAAAGGTTGTCGCTAGCCCCTGGCTATCTGTCTTGATCAGTCTGTTTGAAGGTATGGACGTCCAGAAGACTAACTTCACCTAAGTAATAGACAAGTGCACACAGTGTAGGTGAAATTAATCTACATTTTTTATTAGCGGGAAGAGGATTAATATAACAAAAAAGAAAGGTGGGGGGCACAAAGTATCTGGGAAAAAATTAATTCTCAGTAATTGATTGGCTGAATACAAATACAAGCATTTACGTCAATCCTGAATAATGATGAGAAGCAAAATTTAACTTTCCCAAGAATAAGGAATGCGTCTATAATATTACAAAAAACTTATCTGCTACATACAATAGAATCTGGCTAGATACTTTTCAAGGCTGTGAACATGATCTTTCTCAGGCATTGTAATTAGTTATAAGTAACAAACAATTATTTTCTCATGGGACAGAAATATTTGACATTTAATTGTATCATAACAGAAACAGGTGCTTGTTAATACAAAGAAATAGTTGGATACTTTCACCCTCTACCAAGGCTAAGCTAAGATAAGAGATAGAAGAATATTGTGAGTACATTTCTGTAACACATAACTGACATAGCATATTTTCATTAACTCATTCTGGTTATAATACAAAACAATTAATCAACATGGAATATAAAATGGAGTGGGGAAAAACAAAATGACAGACCTAAAAGACATACATTTCCCTTCAATCCCCTCTTATAATCATTATTTACATATATGATTTTAATTTCCCCTTATACAACATAGTTCTTTTTCTGCTTCTCTCTGTATTTGGCTAGATAACTATTGTACTCTTTGGGTTTTGGGTTCAGTGGGGCAGTTTGTTCTTGGATTTCTTCCTCGTACATAGTCATATCTATACCTTTGTTCATAAGCTTCTTTATGCAGGGAATCACACAGCACACTATCAGGGCTATAAGTATCAGGGTGACTACAATAATCACTCCTATTTGTGCTAGCATCTGCTTCCATCCCTTGAGCCATCCAAAATATTGATCCCATGGATCAGTGATCCCTGAATTCCTTTTCAACTCTTCCGACAGATCAGACAGTTTTTTTATAGCCATAGTGACCTTGCCATTTGGCCCAGTGTTGTCTGGGATGTAGGTACAACAAGTACCTGTTCCTTTTATCATTGCACACACACCACCCTTTTCTGCAAGCATCATATCTAAGACCATACGATTTTGAAAGGTCATGGTGGAATCAGCCTGCAACTGCTCCGCTATCCCCTTCAATGCATCCCTGGTGTAGTTGACAAACCTCTGTTGATTGTAATATATATAATTTATCCAATCAACATTCTGTTGACGGTGATGATTGGAATGATTGACTCAAAACCTGCTTTGACCTGGTCCCTGGCCTTAAACTCATCTGGGACCCCTCTTGGAACCCCTATGGCGTCTATATACACATGTGGGTCAAAACTACCCATCGGGGCCTCCCTCTTGTACCTCTGAGTACCTCCTGTTACATCTTCAGGGATCTCAGAAGGAATTTCACTAAAAATATGCAGGGGCATAATAGCTTTGGCCAAAGCACACTCACCAGACCACTCCTCCAATCTAGACCTGATCTTACCATCACCACAAATCCAGTAGATATCGCCTAAAGATTGTGTCTGATTCTGTAAAAGCCTAGATGAAATGTTGCTGTATGTGTGACAAAAACCTTTTGTAAAATTTCCAAAACTTCTTTTTCTTGCCACTCCTCTATAGCAGGTATAATTCCCTGGGTAAATTTGCAAACCTTCTCCTGGTTTGGGGTTTTTTTGTAACTATGGGATACTTTGCTTTCCAGGTTTCACAGGAAGCATTCTTGTCATGTGTTCCTGTAAAAAGACTTAGAAAACATTCTTCAACATCTTCAGGAAGGTTTAGTGGCACTGTTCCCACATGGAGTCTGGCTGCTCCACAGACATAACAATTAGACTTGTTGTACTGCAGGGCACTGTACCTCATCCATTCTAACCAAAGATTTACATCTGAAAATCCCGTCTCCGCTGCTACGGTATCTTCGAAAGAAGGATCAGCAATGGCAATCATATCCCTAATTGTACTGATACGTGGCCTCAGGGGATTGTAATCATTGTTATTATGCATGTCTTGTATCCTAAATTTTCCCCTTGTGCCTGATATACCTCCTCCCCAGTATAACCCAAATACATACATTCCCGAATCACTAGGGCTGGGATTTTCTATGGTAAGCGTATATTTGGCATTGGGCTTGGTAAGAGTCATTCTGTTTATGAGGGATTTTCCGTTCTTGTCCTTCTTATTTATGGCTGTGTCAGGTTTGTATCCCCAGTCAGTTCCTATGTTCCATCCCACTGCTCCCCAATAATCACAGTTACTCAAACCCGGGTCAACTGCTTGGAAGGCAGCTATGCTCACCACTATACCACGGGACTGTCCACAAAGCCTTGTGGAATTCTGCACCAGGTCAGTTGGCGCCGCCCATCAAGGGAAAAAGCAAAAATGGGTCTTGTCTCCTTGTCAACTGGGACACTGAAAAAGGCGTTTTTAAGATCAATTACAGTAAATACTGCTGCGTCATGTGGTATGCGAGTGAGAAGGGCATTTAGATCTGGTACTATGGGGGCTATAGGCTGCACCAGGTCATTAACCGCTCTCAGATCTTGTACAAATCGGTATGTACCATTGGGTTTCTTTACCGGGTTCACAGGGGTATTATAGGGAGAGATAATCTCTTCTAGAATACCTTCCTGTAAGAACCTCTCAACCATTGGGGTGATACCTTCAATTTTCTCTTGTGACAGGGAATATTGTTTTTTTTTTTTTTTTTTTTTTTCCTATTTCAATGGTTTTTATTAAATTTTTTAAACAGTATAAACAGAGGCAGTAAAACACGCCCACGCAGGGGCTATCAATTGCACAGATAAACAAAAATGCCAAATAAAAAAAAAGGGGAAAAAACAATGCTCTAATGCCAACAGGGCAAAAGGTACGCCCACGCAGGGGCTATCAAAGGCACATAAGTTACAAAACATTAATGTAACTGATTATAACAACTAAATGCAGCTGTCCTAGTCACACCAAAAACAGAGAGAGAGAGAAAAAGGAAAAGAAAGAAAAAAAAAAAAGGGGGGGGCAAAGAGCAGGGATTCAAGAGCGCCAACCCGAACGCCATTACATCCCCAGACTAGCCGGGGAGAGTGAGGGAAGGGCATATTGCAACCACGGCTCCCATATTTTCAAAAATTTACGTTGGGAGTCATTGCGGATACTCGACATCTGTTCGTTGAGCATCATAGTGGTCATACGATCCCGCACCCCCTGAAGAGGGACAAACGGACTCCTCCAGGCCTGAGCAATTGTTCTAGTGGCGGATAAAAACAGATAGGAAGCCAACTTCTGCTGGTGAGCCAAGAGGCCCGGTATGGGGCAATGAAGCAAAGCATACCGAACATCCCGGCGTATGGAGAGATGGAACAAAGTGAAAAGGAGGCCAAATACACGAGACCAAAAACGAAACAGTCTCGGGCATGACCACCAGATATGCAATACATCACCACGATGACCACAACCCCGAAAACATCGATCACTACAGGCAGGATTAGCCCGGGCCAACCGAGCCGGAACCCAGTACCAACGAAACAAAACCTTATAGGCTGCCTCCAGTGTGGTCGTATTAAATGAGCATTTAGCTATGAGT